CCATCGTTCATTGCAAACATGACATTATATAATCCCAGTTAGAAGCCAGAGCCCGCGTCGCCCTCCCCACCACCGTGGAGGTTTTACACAGGTGCCCCGGAACTTGAGATATTGTAGCGAATTTCGCTACCAACCCTTTTGCTTATTTTTCCTATCATGATGTAGACCTCATTGGCGCAACGCGCTGGCCATTATCAGTCTGAGCTGAAGGATGTGCAATCGAGACGGGGCTTAATCTAGGCACCACCGCGATTTTCATTGATGCAAGACAGAAGGTCATTGTTTTTTTTGTTACGCGGTACGATGCATGAGATGGGTGAGTCACGCCAGCGCCATAAAGGTGTCAACTCGCATGCATGTCATCTTCCTCCTTCACCACGCCCTCGCCATTATCATGCTCTTCTGCCATCGTAATGAACCCCTTTCGGAGCAGGAGTTGGCATGCCGTGCTTATGCGAATGTAGAGGATGAAGAGGACAAGAAGAGAAGGAGGAGGAGGAGGAGGAGGAGGAGGAGGAGGAGGAGAAGGAGGACGACGGCGAGGAGGAGGAGGAGGAGGACGACGAGGAGAAGGAGGATGACGAGGAGGAGTTGGAGGAGGAGGAGGATATTCCTCCACGCGCATATTCAGCCATCCTTTTCCATTAGTGCAACTTTTCCTCGTCGAGGACGGCGATGCGGACAAGGGGATGACGAGGGAGGAATCAGGAACATCATCGATTTGATCGACTAGTGATTGCGTAAGATGAAGGACCCGACGTGACGTCGTTTTCCCCCTTCCCCGTCATCGACATGCCTCCCTTTCGGGGAAGGGACGCATGAATGTGAGAATGCATCGAGATGAGCGCGAGTAGGAGGGATGATGGGGGAGACAATGACGATGATAATTGTGGTTGTGGTGACGATGCCAATGATGACGACGATGGTGATGGGGATGGGAAGGAAGGGATCAGAGAGAGGAAGCCTTTTGATGGCGTGGGAGATATGCCGGAGGATAGATCCGAGGTGGCGCGCAGTGGATGAGACAGATTGTACCCCGTTCTCAATTTCCACATACCGCATCATCCCTAAACGGATCGGAGGTGAGGGGGTGAGATCGAAGTGGAACGGAGAGCCCCCCTACCGGGAAATCGATTTCGGTTTCGTGTTCGTGCGTGCCGTGCGTGCGGGCGAGGCGAAGTTGCGTGGGCGGGCGAGAGAAAGTCCCCTGTGGCTGAGGCGCGGCCGGACCAAATGATTCTCCGCCGGGCGGCCGGTGGCGCGTGGTGTCCCGCCGGTGTCCCGCTGGTGTCCCGTCGGTGTCCCTGTGGCTGAGGCGCGGCCAGACCAAATGTGTCTCTTCCGGGCGGCGGGTGGCGCGCGGTGTCCCGCCGGTGTCCCGCTGGTGTCCCGTCGGTGTCCCGTCGGTGTCCCGATGATGATGTGGATGATGGTGATGATGATGATGATGGTGATGATGATGATGGTGATGATGGCGATGATGATGATGATGATGATGATGATGATGATGATGATGATGATGATGGTGATGATGATGATGGCGATGATGATGATGATGATGATGATGATGATGATGATGATGATGACAATGATGACAATGATGATGATGGCGATGATGATGATGATGATGATGATGATGATGATGATGATGATGATGTTGGTGTTGTTGTTGATGATGATGACGTCGATTGTGAGATCGATTGTGACATCGATAGTGAGACCGAATGTGAGATCGATTGTGAGATCGATACTGAGATCGATTGTGAGATCGATAGTCAGATCGATTGTGAGATGATGATGGTGATGATGGTGATGATGGTAATGATGGTGATAATGGTGATGATGGTGATGATGATGATGATGATGATGATGATGATGATGATGATGATGATGATAATAATGGCGTCGATTGTGAGATCGATTGGGAGTTCGGTTGTGATATCGATAGTGAGATCGACTGTGAGATCGATAATGAGATCGATTGTGAGATCGATAGTGAGACCGAGTGTGAAACCGAATGTGAGATCGACTGTGAGATCGATTGTGAGATCGATAGTGAGATCGATAGTGAGACCGAATGTGAGACCGAATGTGAGATCGACTGTGAGATCGATTGTGAGATCGACAGTGAGACCGAATGTGAGACCGAATGTGAGACCGAATGTGAGATCGATTGTGAGATCGATAGTGCGATCGATAGCGAGATCGATCGTGATATCGATAATGAGATGAAATGTGAGATCGATAGCGAGATCGATTGAGTGAGACGTTGGTTCCCCCTCCCCCCTCACCTCCTTATCACCCGCAGGGTGGTCGTATAGGTAATGAGAGATGCAGCGGGGGGGGAATACGGGGAGAGAGAGAGAGAGAGAGAACAACAAAAGAGGGGGGGAGAGAGAGAGGGAGGGAGTCAGGGAGAGAGAGAGAGAGAGAGAGAGAGATAAAACAAAAAATGAAGAAAGAAAAACAAGAGAGAGAGAGAGAGAGCGCGCGAGAGTCAGTTCCACCCTACCCCCCCCCCAACACACACACACACACACACACACACACACACACACACACACACACACACACGCACACAGAAACACACATACACACCCGGTTGTCACTTCTATCCTCCTCCTCCTCCTCCTTAGGAGGAGGAGGAGGAGGAGGAGGAGAGGAGGAGGAGCAGGAGGAGGAGAAGGAGGAGGAGGGGGGATGGAGGGCGAGAGGTAGGCGATACCTTAGAAGTGAGAATTCTCATCTTCGACCGTGCCCCCTTGGGGGTGTATATCTTTCTTACCTGCCGCGCATCATTTGCGCAGCCCCTGAAACAGCGGAAACGCGGACGGGTGGAGGGGGGGAGGAGGAGGGATGGAGCACGGAATTGTCAGGAGGGGGGCTCGGAGCAGAAAACACGTAGCAGAACCGAGGAAGTATCGAGCAGGAGCCCTTGTCGTCGTGGCCGGGCCTCCGCCAACTTGTTTGAATTGCGAGGAAGTCTCGAGCGAGAGCGCCGTTCCTGAGTTCGGGGGCCTCTCTGGCCAGGGTGCCCCGGGGCAAACATTGTGAGGAGGTATTGAGCGGGAGCCGTTGTCGTCGTAACTGGGCCTCCAAGGGCACATATTTACATTCAAGCCCGCGCCCGAGTGGGAGCTCCGTTTTCAGAGGAATTGCAGCCGGCGTCGAGGCGAGAGCGCGCGCAACCGTTTCCATAGATCAGCAATTATTGTTTTCTAGAGTTGAGACTTCAACAACAACAACAACAACAACAACAACAACAACAACAACAACAACAACAACAACAACAATACCAACGACACCAACAACAGCAGCAGCCACAACAGCATCATCAACAACAACAGTCATGTTAAGACTGTTCGCTTGTATGTGCTCGCGTGACATTCCAAACGTGTACCCCAAACCCTCGATACCCGCACAGTTCGTCTTCGATCGTACCCCTTCGGGTGTGTATATATATATGTATATATATATATATGTATATATATACACACGATCGTACCCCTTCGGTGTATATATATATATATATATATATCTGCATGTCTATATATACACATATGAAGGCCTTTCAGGAATCCGGCAAAATTTCTGTGAGGCCCCCAGAGGCACTCCAAAGAGGAGCTTCCACAAAAAGAGCTGCGGGGGATGGGGGGAATGCGCAGGGTATGGCGGTAATGAGGAGAAAGAAGCATGGAGGGAGGATAGCGAATAACACTGTTACAACGGCGATGCCGGAAAATGCAACAAGGAGTTATCGCCAAATTGTCGGCATGACCTTCCTGCCATTCCGCCTGCATACCAAACATCAAGGACCAAGGCACATGGCGCGAAGCGCCATTGCAATCTTGCTTTTTCTCCAAATAGGCTTGCCCTATAGGAGTCCTGGCTCATCATAAGTAGTTGGTCTTTGGGACCCCCCTTTTTCCATAGGCCCCCCCCCTTTCTCGATGGCCCCCCCCTTTTTCCAATGGCACTTGCTTGCTCTTGCGTGCTTGCTCTCGCTTGCTTGTTCTTGCTTGCCATGGCTTGCTTGCACTTGATCGCTGGCTCTTGCTTGCTTGTTATTGTTCGCTTGCGCTTGCTTGCTTCCGACGATAGGGGCGAATAGATCAGGGGAGAGCATTACACGCACCCCTCCGGGAGCCTCGCTGAAGACATGGATCATCGGCGCTTCTGGATACATGTATTCCCTTCCCTGGGCTATTCGCCCCTTTCGTCGCCTCCGATGTTTGCAGGGTGGGCCGCTTGCGTCGCCGGGGAGGGAGCGCCGGTCCTGAGCAAAAAACATGGAAGTATCGAGCGGGAGCGCCAGTTTTGTGGGAAAGCCAGCTTTCGGCGGCGAGCAGGAGCCCTGGTCCCGAGTAGAGAGGGGGTAAGTATCGAGCAGGAGCGTTGTTGTTGATGGGGGGACCCCCGAAACGCTTGAGCGTGAGCCTAATCTTCAAAGCAAATGCAGCCGGCGCCAAGGCGAGAGCGCCAGGGCGGCTCTAGGGGGTGCAACAATAATAGTTGTTCAGCAGTTAGGGTTCAACAACAACAACAATAGTTATATCAACAATAATAATAACACCACCAACAACAATAATAATAGCAGCAACAAAAAAACAACAACAGCAACAACAACCAAAGCAGCAGCAACAACAACAGCAACAGCAACAACAAGTTGAATCCACGCCGCGGAGTCCCACTTCAGCTACGCACCCATGGACAGTGAGTGACTGTTCGGCCCCCTCATTCTATGATAGTACCATGGGAGGTGGGAAGTGGGATGCTGGGGTGGCGCTGGGAAGCAGAGGCGGGAGACAAAACAATGGCATCGCAGCGTTTGCCAGAAATCGGATTCTGGAGATGGATTGGATACATTGCAAGTTGCTGTTGTCCGGAAGTGTAGAAGGGAGGATTACGGAACACTAGTGGAGGTGGAGGGGGGAAGAGGCAAACGCCGAGCAACGGGACAGCATCTTAGGCATGAGGTCCAGCGACCTTCCCCTCTTCCAAAGCCGATTGGGCTCGGGTGTCAGGGGGCGGCCGCTTGCTGGTCACTGGCAATGTTTTCCCCTCTCTCCGCTTTCCCGCCCAGCTTCGCCCCCTCCTCCGCCCTCCGCTCTCGCGCCCCTGTGGCTGCGGGCGCGTCGGCGCGGCCGAGGCGGTGATGGCGGCCGGCGGCGCTGCGGCAACCAGCGCCGCAGCGCCCCCGCGGTCGCAGTCTGCGGAGCTGCAGGCGCCGTCGCTGCCGATGCCGATAGGGCGACGGCCGCTCGCAGGGAGCGCGCGAACAGCGCGCCTCTGCCGCAGCGGCCACCGCCCGAGCACGGCTGGCAGCGGCGCTCAGCAGGCGGAAGGCGGCAGGGCCGCGGCGCCGCCGCCGACGCCGTCCCTCGGGACGCCGCCTGCAGCGCCGCCGCCGCCGCAGAGCGCGCTCGGCCTGCACACGTCGGCGCTCGGCGCCGACGCCTCCCGAGAGCAGCGGTGGGAGGCCTTCCAGAGCCAGCTGCACAGGCGCCGGCCGCGCCCCACCTCGGCGCCCGCGGGAGCCGCTCCTGGATGGGGCCCACGGCTTGGCGGCGAGAGCACAGAAGCACAGCCCAGCAGAGCCCAGCGCCACCCGTGCACCTCTGCGCCCGCCACGCCCCGCGCCGGTGCACCTCCGCGCCCGCGGTCCGCCGCACCGGCGGGCCCCGCAGCCCTGCCGCGCCAGACCTCGCCGACGCCCGCGGAGGGCCAGGCAGCCTCGCCGCGCCAGCCCGCGCCGACGCCCGCGGAGCGCCGCCCCCTGCCGGCGCCGCAGGGCGGAGGGCGCACGGCGGCGCCAACCTGCAGGGGAGGCCAGCTGGGAGAGGGGCAGGCTTCCGCGCCCAGCGCCCCGGCGCGCCCCGCCACCGCGGGGCGCGCACCCGCGAGGCCGACGGAGGCGGCGCCACTGGGCCTCCGCTTGCCCAAGGAGTACGCCAGGCGGTCTCGGCCCACGACAGCCAGGAGGGGTTGCTCCAAGCATGCCAACGTCGGGCGGCCGCGGCCGAGGAGCCCGCCGGCATCCGCGCGTGGTGGCGCCGGGCCCGCGGCGGAGGCGCTGCTGTCTGCGTGCAGCAGCAGGATGCCAGGCCACTTGGCGGAGGCCGCGCGCACGGGCTGCAAGCTGGACGTGGACCCGCAGGCATCGCTGCGCCCCCTCGTCGGCAGCTCTCGCGGCTGCGCCGCGGAGCTGCACCTGCGCGAGTGGCTCTCGTGGATGGGGGGCTCTGAGACCGCCGCCGCAGACGGAGGCCACCAGCTGGCGCTGGCGTCGACGTCCCAGGATCTGTTGTCCCCGCGGAAGCCGTCACCCGGGGGCCCCGGCTGCGCTGGGCAGGCCAGCAGCACAGCTGGCGGCGAAGAGGGCCTGCGGCACGGCCCGAGAGATGGCACCGCAGCGCGCTTCGGGCAGGCATCGGGCCCGGGCCCAGGGCCCCGCAAGGCTCGGCCACGCGTAAGAGTGACCCTTCGCCAGAGTGACGTTGGTGCGGGCCCACAGGGGTCCCCCAACCAAACACTAGCTGCGCGCTGGGATTTGGCCTCCCCGCGGTCCCCTCAAGCCGCGCACCAAGGGTCACTCTTGCCTAGGGTCGCTCTTGCGTGTAGCTCAAAGGTAGCGCGCCTCTCGTTCTTAGGCAACGGCCATGCTGCTGGCGCGCTTGCCAGGAAAGGCCACCAGGGACAGCGCCGGGCGACCATCAGCTCGCCTCGCGAGAATGTCGAGAGCCGGGACGACGCTTACACGAGCATCTCCAAGATCGCTGGAACCAGAGCCATGGAGATGCTACGTGGCGAGCCCAACCGCACTTTGGCGCCAAAAACGATGCGGTTCAAGGCCCTGGCCGAGGTGGTCGAAGCAGCGATGGCCTCCCACCGGGCAGGCCAGCTCGGGAACACGGTGTTAGCGAAGAGGGGCTCCCACTCCAGGCGCAACTCCATCGGCGCCCCAAAGAGGCGCAACTCCACCGACGCCAGGCTTTTGGCACCTCGGATTGAGGAGGACGCCCTTGGCAACCTCGTGGTGAGAAGGAGGGCCAGCGATGTTCGTACGTTCCTGGAGGACCCAGACGAGCTGTTCGACCAGTTCCAGCACGACAAGGAGATGCACCGCGACAAGCTGCAAATGGCCCTGGAGCGCGCTGGGGTCCTGTGCGTGCGCCGGGAGTGGATCGACGAGATCTTCGAGGGAATCACCAAGTACACGGTGCTCGACCGAGAGGAGTTCGAGGACTTCGTGGAACGCTACCAGAGCAGGGTCTACCAGGAGTACGAGACCGCGTTCGCAAACTGCGACTTCAAGAACAGCCGTCAGGTGCCGGTGACCTCTTTTTCCAACATCCTTGCATTTCTGGGCGTCACTGTGACCGACGCCGTCATCAAGGACACCGCCAAAGAGGTCGATCAAGGCAATTTGGGGCAGATAGACATGCAGCAATTGGAACAATTCATGGCGATGCTCTGCCTCCAGCAGGGCTTCAGCAAACGGGAGTACACTCGCATCATGAACGCATTCAGCCACTTCGACCTCGATCGGTCTAGCAGCCTTGACACATCGGAGATCGCGGAGATCTTAAGTTACCTGAACTACGCGATCCTACCCGACAACATCGCCAACATCGTGAAGGAGATGGGCGCGGAAGAGGACAGCCAGCTCAGCAGGTCTGAGTTTCTGGTCTTCATGCGGAAGGTGCGGGAGTTTGAGGTAACGAAGATCTCGGAGTGTCTGGCGAGGCCCGACGCGCCGACCAGCAAGCTCGAGCTCCTGCAGTTCGCGATGCGCAGCCTCAACTACGTTGCCGACCTGGACGTTATCTGGCCGCCTACGGCAGCTCCCAGCACCGTGCTAGCCAAGCGCTTTCGGCGGCAGCTGCTCGAATCGATGAGGATGATGGCGTTGGTGATGATGATGGTGGTGATGGTGATGGTGATAGTGATGATGGTGGTGATGATGATGGTGGTGATGGTGATGATGATGGTGGTGATGACGGCGATTGGATGGTGATGAGGGTGATGATGATGATGGTGATTATGCTGATGACCATTATGATGATTATGATGATGCTGATGGTGATGGTGATGATGCAGATGATGCTGATTATGATGATGCTGATGGTGATGATGATGATGATGATGCTGATGGTGATGATGCAGATGGTGATGATGCAGATGATGATGATGATGATGATGATGATGATGATGGTGGTGGTGGTGGTGATGGTGATTATAATGCTGATGCTGATGCTCATGGTGATGGTGATGATGATGGTGATGGTGTTGACGATGATGACGATGGTGACGATGAGAGGATGATGACTGTTATGATAATGATGATTCGGATGAGGATGAGAACGATGATGATGGTGATGGTGATGGCGATGATGGTGATGATGGTGATGATGATGGTGATGGTGACGATGATGATGATGATGATGATGATGATGAAGAAGCTAATCCTGGTCATGATGGTGGTGATGGTGATGGTGATGGTGAGGCTGCTGAGGCTGATGAGGATGATGATGGTGGCACTGGTGATTAGTATCGTTATTATTATTATGGTTATGACGTTGGAGGAGGACGATTGAGGCGGAGGAGGGGGGCAAATGACATGATGAAGATGGGGACGAACATGAATAGTTCGATGATACTGGTGATGATGACGATGATGAGGATGACAACGATGGTGCTGACGACGATGATGATGACGACGATGAAGATGGAGATGATGAAGAACATGATAATGATGATGATGATGATGATGATGATGATGAACGTGATGGTGATGATGCTGATGATGGCGATGATGGTGATGATGAAGACGAATCTGATGGTGATGCTGATGCTGATGGTGAGGAGGAGGAGCAGGAGCAGGAGGAGGAGGGAAGACACGGACGAAAATGATATTGATGGTGTATGGCGACGAGGAGAGAGAGAGAGAGAGAGAGAGAGAGAAAAAAAAAAGAGAGAGACAGAGAGAGGAGGGGAGGAGGAGGAGCAGGAGGAGGAGCAGGAGGAGGAGCAGGAGGAGGAAGAGGAAGAGGATGCTGATGAGGAGGAGGAGGAAGACGAGAAGGAGGATGAGGAGGATGAGGAGAGCCGTCACATGCTACGCTTTCCGTTTTCACTTCTCGAGGGGCGTTCATGAATTTTCTTTGGGTTGTTTTGGGGCTGGCCTGGGCTTCTGTGGGGGCAGTCTTGGGGGTCCCCTGGGGTTCTCTTGGGCCGTCTTGGGCCCAGCTTGGTGGATAAGGCCCGAGGCTTCTGGAAAACGATGTTCCTACTTACAGGTTTTTTTCTGGGGCCCCAGAAATGGTTGGGGGCAGGCTGACGGGGGGAAAGCTGGGGACAGACGGAAGCCCACGTGTCCAAGTGTCATACGATGCTCCACGATGCTCCATGAGTCGGTCATCCTCTTCGTAAGTATCGGGCCACATGCATGGTCACACTCAAGCGGCGCCCCGCGTCCGCCGCGGCCAGCGGCGGGTGGCGGAAGCCCTAAAGCCCCATAGGGCCAGCGGCGGGGGGCGGAGGGGGCGGAAGCCCTACAGCCCCAAAAGGGCCAGCAACGGGGCGCTGAGGGGGCGGAAGCTTTGACGCACCATAGGGCCAGCGGCGGGGTGCGGAGGGGGCGGAAACACTAAAGCCCTATGAGGTCAGCGGCGGGGGCGGAGGGGGCGGAAACTTTAAAGCGCCATAGGGCCAGCTGCAGGGGGGCGGCGGGAGCGGAAGCCCGTACGCCCCGCGGCGGGGGCGGACGCCCTCTGACCCAAGGGACCGTTGCGTTTCCCAACACGCCTTGGGCCAAGGCGTCTTGGGAATTTTTCGGGGGATCGCGAGGAAGTCTCAGGCTAAGGAAGGCACGCTTCTCGAGTCGGATCGCTCTTGGGCCAGGTTATCCGTACGATGCCTGGTGCTGATGGCTCCGTAATATCTGCATACATCCCAAGGCCGAAAGTTTTTTCCCCTTGGATTAAAAATATGAGAACATCAACGGATCCAATTGGATCCTTTTTCGGGCGTGGGAGAGTGTCGTGGATCCTATATATGTGTTGCGCGGATCCAATTCCCGGCGTGTGAAAAATCGATGGATCCATTTATTTCCCGGGAGTAAATATATAATTATAATTAACATCCGGGACCCAGGGGAAATGGGATCCGCGGAGCACCGCAAACGAAGCATCATGCTATCCACGGAGCTGTGGATCTGCAGACCAATGCTATGATTATACGGGGGAAGGGGGGTCTTCCCAGGATGAAGAGGGGAAGGATGAGGGAAGAGGCACGAGGAGGTGGGGGAGAACAGGAGCCATTGGCGCTTTCGTTCGCTGACCAGGAGCAGCCCGTGAAAGGTGTTCGTCCTCGACATCAAGTACATCATTGACAGTGAACTGCCTCGTGCCATCAATTGCATCATTTTGCACTCGATATGTCACTCTGTCTATGACAAGGCCTTGTTTTAAGAGCGCATCCTCGCATGCGACCTCGGCGTCCCGATCGGGCGCGCCAGCGGGGAGATCAAGCACCAACAACCCACAGGGCCGAACGAGCTGAGGAACGGCAAGGGACTTCCGATCCAGACCACCCGCAGTTGCCTGCGCGACTGGTTTAACCAGCGTGCCTGGGACAACATCGGAGTCGTATTCAGAAGATGTGGCCGACACAGTACGGCCCAGCTCCTGGCCTTGTGCCTTTGCCTCCCTATCAGCACCGTTTTGCTTTCTGCGATGAAGAAATACGGGCTGGTTGGCAAACCTGTGAACAGGAGCCTGTTCAGCGGTTGCAGCAAGTTCTTGATGTACGTGCCCCTGGCCTACTGGAAGGTATGATGGCACTTGGGTATCGCGCCCGCCGTTGGAGGCCTCGATCTGAGGAGGTCCGAATCCTCGAGGCGCATGTTGAAACGGCGACGGTGCACCCCGTCTGTCCCAGCACTTGCCGTGATTTCGGGGTCGACTGAAGCCAGGTCCCGAAGAAGCGCTGCTCGCACTTGTGCGCTGTAGGGTCGGATGCCGCTTTCGTTCGGGAAGTCCCCCTTGATGTGCAGCTCCGAAGAACACTTGAGGATGACATTGGCCTTCTTTAACTTAGCGGGGCAATTGTTGTCCAGTCGCGTCGACCGCGCTGCCGCCATGCAACTTCTGGCGGTTCTGCATCAGCTGCAATCCTCACTTGGCCCACGAGGCCTGGATCGTTGAACGCGTGTTTTCCAACTTCGTCGCGAGAGCCTCTGGCAAGTTCGATAAGGGCGTAAGCCAGGACGTCGCTGCCTGTTTGGCCTGCGCGGAGTCAGTGGGCGACAAGCTAGCTGCTATCCGCGCGTTTCGGACGATGTTGTCTGCGATGCCCCTGATGTGGGATGCCACTCTGCATTGTAACCTCGCGCGGCACTGCGCGGCATCGTGGGCCAGATCACACGCTTGGTCGTCGGACGCAGCCCCGGGCCGAATCGGAGTCTGAACGCATGTCTTCGCGCCGCCATTATAAAGTGCACCAGCCGGAAAGCGGTCGAGAAATTAGCGGTCAACGGCGCTTCCCATAACAATGCCGATACTGCCAGGGTATGAGAAGTAGTACGCGATGCAATGCAAGTGTTTCTCTTGCCCCAGCAACCGATGCACAGTGCTCGGCGCGTGGCATCGCAGGATGTGAACCTCTTTGCCCGCCTGGGCGTAAACGAACGCATTGCCAATCCAATTGCGCGATCGGCGCCCTCGAGGCGGCGCAACTCCACGTCCTTGTGGATGCGCGGTTTCAACGACTTCCCCCGGGGTAGAAGCCGGCGGAGAAGCCCTTGGAACGCGGGGCGGTCGCTGATTATTCACGGCGGCGCCGACCCAAGCGCATCCTGAAATTGACGAGATCCCTCCTTGAGTAGGCCCACCACGCTGGATGCGCGACCATTGACAGATGCAGCTTTCAGGGTTCGCCAGGCGATGAAGATGGCGATGACGGTAATGATGGCGATGATGGCGATGGCGATGATGATGATGACGACTGGGATCACGACGCGGATGTCGATCAGGATGATGATGGCGATGACGACTTCTCTAGCGTGAAAATGCAGAACTCCCCGCGGGCGCACCCACCTCCTCATAGAAAGCGCACAACATCACCCATGTCAGCTTCAAAATTCAGACGGTCACCGTTAAGGGGGCGCTGAAGTTTACGGGCCAACGCGGCTACTTCTACACGGTGGACGCTACAGACATCCTCACGGGCTCGCGCGCGCAATCGACAAAACCCATGTGAAGTTGCACGCTCCATCGGTCACCGTTAAGTGTTCATTGAATGTCCAGGCCAATGTGGCAATTTCTCCCTGGCGAACAACACAGAACTCCCAGCGGGCGCGCGCGCGCCGCACCGGGGAAGCCATGCAGCATAACCAATGTGAGCTTCAAAATTCAATCAGTCACCGTTAAGGGCGCGCTCTGGCTTCCGGCCCGACATGGCGACTCTCTCTGTCGAGGGCAATACTTTACTCCCAACGGGCACGCGCGCGAGCGCGCCATCAGAGAAAGCATGCAACAGAACCCGCGTTAACTTCACAATCCGATCGGCCACCGTTAAGGGGCCACTACAGTATCCAGGCCAAGATGACGACTTTTCTATCGCGGACAATCCAGAACTCCCAACGCGCTCGCAATCAGAGACAGATTACAGCATAACCCATGTGATTTTCAAAATCCAACCGGCCACCGTTACGGGGTCATTTGAGTTTCCAGGCCAACATGGCAAGTTTTCTATCGCAGACAATCCAGAACTCCCAACGCGCGCGCGCCGTCAGAGGAAGCACACAGCAGAACCCACGTTATTTTCAA